GAAGAAATCGACAACAAAATCAGACACGACTACCACTTCTTGTCAGAAATATCAATCTCAAAAAAAAAATAAAATTTTCGGGCAATCAAATTATTTCCAACCGGTCAAAGAACAGAAAGTGAAACAGGTAACGTAACAGAATTCAGATGTAAAGCATCAAAAAGTGCTCGAAAATAAACGAGTGACTGACTCAAGAATCAAACAAAATATGACATGGGTGTTAAGAAATGTAAACAGTACCTATTACCACATCTAAAGCATCTCAAGCTTCTTGCTGATTTAAACTGTACACACGTGGCTGAATTGGAGCTGGAGCTACAGAACCACTAGGCTCTCTCTGATTACCACTAGGGGGTCTCCTTGCCGCAGATCCCGATCCACCAGCTCTACTAGAGGATCCTTCAGCAATAGTACGGGGTGGAACTATCCTCGGCCTTCCTGTTAGACCGGCAGGTCTAACAAAACTCTCAGATCCGAACTCAAATTGTCGATCAAATCCAGCTTGTGGACACTCTGCTATCCGATATCCTGGCTGACCACATCTAAAATACTGACCAGTCATCCTGTAACACTGACCAAAATGTCTTCGTCCACAAGTTTGGCACACAGGTGCCCCATTGATTGACCCAGAACTTGTCACACTGCCACTACCAGAAACTATAGTGGATCCTGACTGTCCACTCATCGTAGAGTCTCCAGATACAAATCTCTTCTTTCCAGAAAAATCACTGCCAGATATATCACTACTAAATCTCTTCCTACTAGCAGTCCACCGTTATTGAGTAGCCATCAGATCATTCTCTATCAGTCGAGCTCTCTCAATTAGCTCAAAGAAATCAGATATATGAAATGGTACTAGGGGTTGCCTCAGACTGTCTCGTAGTCCCCTCAGAAATCTATAGCACTTCTCCACAGAAGTATTAATCAATTGTGGAGCATATCGGGCTAACGCAGTAAACTCTGCCTCGTACTACATAATTATCATGCTCCCCTAAACCAACCTCAGAAAAGTCCCCTACATCTGTTGTCTTGTAGAAGGGGGTACAAACCATGATCTGAATACTTCAGAAAATTCTTCCTATGTAATCGGATAGTTCAGTTTACCTTGGAATTTCTCCTCCTACTGGCCCATCCTCCAGCGCTCTGCTTCACCATCCAACATAAAAACTGCTAACGGTACCTTCCTGTCCGGAGGATATTGCATACCTTCAAATGTCTTTTCCAACCACCTCAACCAATCCTCAGCTGCTCTGGGCTCAATAGTGTCCTCAAACCTCGGAGGCTTCAATCTTAAAAACATTTGTAGATGTCTATCTACATTTTCAGATCGAACAGTAAAAACTCTATTTTGTGTCTCGCTCATCATCTGAGCAACTAATATAGCAAACTAGGAAACTGTATCAGAACCAACTACTAGGGCAGAACTATTCACAGGAGCTACCTGACTAGCACTCTGCCCATCAGTCATATCTATGTCTGGCAGATCTATGATCACATAGAAAGCAACTATGCACATGCATATAAAACAAAATAATAAAAATCCAAACAGATGGAAACTACCCCACCAGACTTACAGATCAATTCATATAGCTCTGTCTTACGATCCCATATTCCAAAACTACAGCTCTTGTACCACTTTAATTTGTCACGACCCAACCAGACCAGAACGAATCCCATCGCATCGGGTCGCGATGGATGAATCCAGGATCTAGCTTTGAAATTTGGTTTCAGACTTTCTTCCAATAATCAGACATACAGAAAATATAAAGCGACTATAAACATCCAAATATACAGAACAGTTCATCTAACATTTTATCTTATTTTATCAAATAATTATGTACAATACAGTGCATGACTACAGACAGAAAGGATAGAACAGAATGGAAAAGCTATGACTGTACAAAAATTAAAAGTACAAAATACCTAATCTCAGATCAGAAAACTGAACAGCTAGTCTAAGACTTCCATCCATTTCCCAGAACCTGAAAATCACGCAGATAACAAGAATAAGCTAACAGCTCAGCAAGACTACACCAGCCAATCAAAACACCAGAAATTCATGTCAGAAAATATATCATAATAATATTATACATAATTTAGATAATCATATAGAAAATCATATAATCAGACATAATACAGATACTTGATCGAACAGAATATCAAACCACTGAAACAGAAGAACTGAATCATTTCATATAACAGACTAAATCAGATTTCAAATCAAAATTATCTTCAAATGAACAGACAGAATCGTACAAATCATAAAGTACAGTATTAAAGCAGATTAAATCTTATAATACAGATCACATGTAAAATTTCATATATTAGATTCCTAGATGCTGACAGAATCTCAACGGATTCTGGCCCTTTATGCCTCCCTTCCCTGACACAAATAAAATCTTAAATGATTCTAGCACCTTATGTCTCCCTTATGCTATAGCACCAGAACATATCAGATATACAGAATTTTAGATCATATCAGACTTTTCAGATTTCCCTGACATAGACAGAATCTCAAAGGATTCTGGCCCCTTGTAACTCCATTGATATCATACAAACACATCAAATCATTAAAATTCAGAAATCAGATTTCATCAGAAAAATTGTCAGCATCATAACGGCAGTATAAGGAAATTCCACAGAATTTTATAATTTTAAAAATTTACAAAATTACCACAGATAATATAAAACATCATTTTAAGACTTTCATTGTATTGAAGCAAGTATTTTCAACATCTAAATAATTCGTCATTCAATTAAAACTTCGTAAAATTTAAAATACCCGATGAAAATCTTATAAAAAATACTCAAAACGTACAAAAACATCATCTCAGAAACATACCAAAAGTTACGCGGTCAAACATTTATCAGTACGAAATAACACCAGATTTTCGTTAACGAAAACAAAATTTGAAATAGAAAAATCGTCAAAATCCATATTTCTGAAAATTGAGAAAGGCGGAATGTGCCATATCTCGAGTCGGTCAACTTTTTCAACTACGGCGACGGACGAAAACGGACTGAAGTCACCCAAAATCTACTTTTCTTCCTTTTTCCTTAGATTTTCTTTCTCCTCAACTTTTTCAACGACGGCGACGGACATATATGCCATCTTATAATATTTTCATATCAAATATGCCACCCATATTTCATTCCCGCCACTCATATTTTATTTCCACGATACATATATTTCATTCACACAACTCATACTTGACGTGAAAGTGAACTATAAGTAGCATGCATGCAATATTAAAATTTTAGGTATTAGATATATATAAAAAATAGTATATAGTAGTATGTAATATGTATGTAAGTACCCATTTAAATTTTTTATGTTATATATAAGAATTTGAGAAGGATAAACAGTAATAACTTTTCTAATTTGTTTTATCGTTCAATTTGTTCTGCTCATTTCCTTGATTTTTGATTTAGATGTTAATCATGTTACTTTATTTAAGTTGTCTAAATTTATTTACTCTTGTGAATGCTATCTTGAATTTGGGGAATTTATTGACATACCACTTTATACTATTCTATTTACATATTTAACACCCAGAATTTTAGTATTACATATATGCCATCTTATAATATTTTCATATCAAATATGTCACTTATATTTCATTCCCGACACTCATATTTTATTTCCACGATACATATATTTCATTCACACAACTCATACTTGACGTGAAAGTGAACTATAAGTAGCATGCATGCAATATTAAAATTTTAGGTATTAGATATATATAAAAAATAGTATATAGTAGTATGTAATATGTATGTAAGTACCCATTTAAATTTTTTATGTTATATATAAGAATTTGAGAAGGATAAACAGTAATAACTTTTAATGTTATAACCTCTAAATATAAAATCGCATAAATGTCCGAAGGGTAATTAGGATGCACCACGTGGTCCGATACACAATTTTATACAATAATGGTACAACAAATTGGTGGCATAGTGTGTCGTGATTGACCGCCGGAAAGCGTTCGGTGATAGCACATAATAATTTCGCCTCTAGAAAAGACTTGTTGGACTCCCAATTTCCCTCCAAATTTAGCAAGAATAGGTCCCTCTCCTCAATACCCAAAGGAATGAGTTCATTTTACTAATTAATATTATTTTCTTATAATGTTTTTATTAAATGATTCTTTTTTTATATGCATTTTAGATCTCTACTAGAGAGGGCTAATTATTTGCATTGTAGTTTTTTTTTCTTAATAAAATAAAGCACTTGTATGAAAAAAAAGGCAAGTCATAAAAAATCAGCCAAAAAATAATAATTTGAATTTTATTTAATATGGTTACAAATATTCCAATATTTTTATTTTGTTCGTCAAATGGAATTTAAAATGATTTTTTGTTTAGTAGATTTTAATAAAAAAAATGTACATATTATTATATCAAATAACTTTTTAGATGGTAAAGTTCTCCCTAAATGAGATAATATTTGTTTATAGAGTTCTTCTAATCCCTATTATCATTAACATTAAAAATCACATTAAAATAAGATAACTCAAATATAATAAAATCACATTAAAATATTAAATATTTATTTTCACTTAAATAGAGAGTTTTCTTAAAAAATCTCTTAAGACATAATTAATCATATAAACTTATTCTTATCGAAACGAATGCCTCATAATTAAAAAAAATTATTTAATTTACCCATATTTGGTGTACTAAATTATAAAAATTATTTTTACTTATTTACTATTTACACATTTAGGGTGCGTTTGGGACGGCTGCAGCTGTCGGTAAAGTAGGTTGTGAAATTGTTGTACAGAAAGTTGCTTCTTGAAGTTGCTTTATATAAATCATTATATTTTGTTTGGATAGCATAACTGTATAACTGATGTGCTGCAGCTGCATGGGAACAATTTACCTTCATACCCTTATATATATTTAGATGAAATTTAGTTACGGAGAATTTTCAGATCCACCATATATCGCCATAATAATAATAATAATAAAACCTGCCGAGCAATGATTCGCGGACTGCGTTCTTCAGAAACCCTGCAGTAGGCCAGTGGCACCAGGGAGAGAGCTTTCTGCCTCGACGGCAACTACAACATATCGGACGGTATTCGTGTCACCGACGATTGGCAAGGTATGGCATCTTCCTATATTTTTTAGGGTTTCGACGGCATCTTCTCATATTAGGGCTTGCATGGTTTTTCTTCATTTCAACTATGCGATCACAATCCCTAACGCTAGCTCTTACTCTTGGCTCTACCAGTGTTTACAGTTTGGACATCAACATCTTTTGAGCAATGGCTCATCTAGGGGGAGGCGCAGAAGCCCATGCCCGCTTCAAGCAGTACGAGTATCGTGCCAACTCGAGTCTTGTCCTCACCACCGATTCTCGACCCCGGGACACCCACGAGCCTACAGGAGAGCCGGAGTCGCTATGGGGGAAGATTGATCCCAAGAGCTTTGGGGATCGTGCATACAGAGGCAAGCCTGCGGAGCTTGAGGAGAAGATAAAAAAGTCTAAGAAGAAGAAGGAGCGGGAGCCAGGGCCCGATCAGGAGCAGAGAAAGGATAGCAAGAGGAGGCGCACCCAGGAGGAGACTGTTCTCTCGCTTGCTGATGAGGGTGTCTATCAGCCCAAAACTAAGGAGACCCGTGCTGCTTATGAGGCACTGCTTAGTATTATCCAGCAGCAGTTTGGCGGGCAGCCACAGGATGTTCTTACTGGAGCTGCTGATGAGGTGTTAGCTGTTTTGAAGAACGATAAGATTAAGAATCCTGAAAAGAAGAAGGATATTGAGAGGCTGTTGAATCCTTTTTCGAGCCAGACTTTTGACCAGCTTGTCTCTATAGCTCGGTTGATCACAGATTATCAGGATGGGCCTGAGACGGCTGGTCAGTTGGCTGCAAATGGGAATGATGGCGCTCTTGATGATGACATTGGTGTTGCTGTTGAGTTTGAAGAAGATGAGGAGGAGGAAAGCGACTTTGATCAGGTATCAATTGCTACATACCTATAATTTTACATGATCTTCACATCTTATTATGCTCAATGTTCATATTATTAAGAGCCAGTAAAATATGTTTGTTTATTGTTACTTGTATGCATCAGATTCAAGAGGAATCAGAGGAGGAGGATGATGGTCAGGAATCAAATGACATGGGTGCCATGCAGATGGGTGGAATAGATGATGAAGAAATGGAGGAAATTAATGAGGGTCGGACTTTGAATGTTCAAGATATTGATGCTTATTGGCTGCAGAGGAAGATATCTCAAGCTTTTGAGAATATTGACCCACAACAAAGCCAGAAGATCGCAGAAGATGTGCTGAAAATTCTGGCTGAAGGTGATGATAGGGATGTCGAGAACCGGCTTGTGACATTACTTGAATACGATAAATTTGATCTTATAAAGCTACTTTTAAGAAATAGACTTAAGATAGTATGGTGCACACGCTTGGCTAGGGCTGAGGACCAAGAGCAACGGAGGAAAATTGAAGAAGAGATGATGAATTTTGGGCCAAGTTTGACTTCAATCTTGGAGAAGTTGCATGCTACTAGGGCTTCCGCAAAAGAACGCCAAAAGAACTTAGAGAGGAGCATTAGGGATGAGGCTAGACGGTTGAAGGATGACCGAGTTGTAGGAGATGATAGGGAGCAAAGGTTTATGGAAAGAGAAGCAGATAATAGTTGGTTAAAGGGTCAACGGCAGTTGTTAGATCTTGAAACCCTTGCATTTCAGAAAGGTGGCCTTTTGATGGCAAACAAGAAGTGTGAACTACCTCCAGGATCTTATAGAACTCCCCACAAGGGCTATGAAGAAGTTCATGTACCAGCATTGAAGCCCAAACCACTTGCATCTGGTGAGAAGTTAGTTAAGATATCGGAGATGCCTGACTATGCACGTCCAGCTTTTGAAGGGATGAAGCAGTTGAACAGAGTTCAAAGTAAAGTTTATGAAACTGCTCTTTTTACACCTGAAAATTTACTCCTTTGCGCTCCAACTGGTGCTGGAAAAACGAATGTTGCTATGTTAACCATACTTCATGAGATTGCTTTACATTGGAAAGATGGGCAGGTAGACACCAATGAGTTTAAGATTGTATATGTTGCACCAATGAAAGCTTTGGTTGCTGAAGTTGTTGGGAACTTGTCTAATCGCCTACAATCTTATAACATCATTGTGAGGGAACTTAGTGGTGACCAATCACTAACCAGGCAACAAATTGAAGAAACTCAGATAATAGTTACAACACCTGAGAAATGGGATATAGTTACCAGAAAATCTGGAGACAGAACATACACCCAGTTGGTAAAACTCCTCATCATTGATGAGATTCACCTTCTGCATGATAATCGAGGGCCTGTTTTAGAAAGTATAGTTGCTAGGACAGTCAGACAAATTGAGACTACAAAAGATCTTATTCGTTTGGTTGGATTATCGGCTACACTCCCAAATTATGAAGACGTAGCATTATTTTTGCGTGTAAATCCCTTGAGAGGACTGTTTTATTTTGATAACAGTTATAGGCCATGTCCACTTGCACAACAATACATTGGAATTTCTGTGAGGAAACCATTGCAAAGATTTCAATTAATGAATGAAATCTGTTATGAAAAAGTTCTGGCTGCAGCAGGAAAGCATCAAGTCCTTATATTTGTTCATTCCAGAAAAGAAACAGTAAAAACAGCTCGTGCAATTAGAGACACTGCATTAGCTAATGACACTTTAAGTCGATTTTTGAAAGATGACAGTGCAAGCCGTGAGATTCTTCAGAGCCAAACAGAACTTGTTAAAAGCAATGATGTGAAAGATTTACTTCCATATGGCTTTGCCATTCATCATGCTGGAATGTTAAGGGTTGATCGTGATATTGTGGAGGAGCTGTTTGCTGATGGGCATGTTCAGGTGTTGGTCTCAACAGCCACGCTTGCATGGGGTGTCAACTTGCCGGCCCATACTGTTATCATAAAAGGGACCCAAGTTTATAATCCAGATCAAGGAACATGGACTGAACTTAGTCCTTTAGATGTCATGCAGATGCTTGGTCGTGCAGGACGACCTCAATTTGACTCTTATGGAGAGGGGATCATTTTAACTGGCCACAGTGAATTGCAATACTATCTCTCCCTCATGAATCAACAACTACCAATTGAGAGTCAGTTTGTTTCAAAGTTGGCTGATCAACTGAACGCAGAGATTGTCCTTGGAACTGTTCAGAATGCACGGGAAGCATGCACTTGGATTGGGTATACCTACTTGTACATTCGTATGCTGCGAAACCCAACCCTTTATGGTCTGCCTGCTGACATTTTGGACCGAGACAAAACTTTAGAGGAACGAAGAGCTGATTTAGTAAGTAAAAGCTTAAGTATTGTTCAATTTTTTATTGTTCAGCATGGTCTGCGCTTTTTCTTGATTTCCAATTTAGCTGCTAGTCATATTACTTTACTTAAGTTGTTTAAGCTTATTTACTCTCATGCTCGATATTTTCTATTTTGATATTATATATAAGAATTTGAGAAGGATAAACTGTTATAACTTTTAATGCTATAGCCTTCAAATATAAAATCAAGATCATAATGTTGTTTTAGAACTTAAGAACTAGGTGATCCAACTTGATCACGTTGCATTAAAACTTAGTGGAAAAAATGAATAATGTTGAACGCCTTCACTTAAAAATACCACCACCTTATATTTTTTGAAATCTAAGTCATTGAAAATGTTTGAGATGTAGTTTTATCTTAAAAAAATATCATTTTATTTGAATTCTATTACACATTATTGAGTTAATTATTTTTATATTTTGATTATTCATTTGGGTGCATAATTGCATGCTCAACGCATAGTTATACTATTTTGAAAAGTATTATTTGGTTTCTTGCTATTTTTCATGATATGTTTTTTTTTTGAATTGTTTCATTTGCCAATTGGATGTTGCTTGATTAAACAATATGTTAAAACGTAATCACATGGCAAAAATGCATCTATACATATGAAAGGATAGAATTATATTACTTAGAATTTTGGTGCTCTAGTTTTGTTTTCTTTGAAAATAGTTTTTAACGATTGATCCTTGATTGCTTGCGTAGCAGTTATTGCTCATTAATTTTTGAGGGAATTTTCATCGCTTTTATTGAGTAGCATGCTTTAAGAATGCTTGATTAAGGGGTTGTTTGTTTAGCTGAAAAAAAATGCAGTATAAAGAAATATAATGTAATAATCAATTAAAAATACATTTGAGTTGTTTGGTTGAGTACACTACAAATGCAATATTTTTTTTTGTTTGGTTAGAAGTAAAGGAATGCAGAGTAAAATAAAAGTGCATTTCAATAATAATTTATTGGACCTAGTCCACAATGGTGGGTGGTGGTCGCTGGCAGTAGCAGTGGCGAGTGGCTGCTAACATCACTCTAAACGTTTCATATTTGGAATTTCCCAAATTCGGGTGAATTCCAAATACATTGGACATGGAGTAGATGATGAATTCTAAATGCACTCATAAAATACTTTGCATTTGAAACACAATCATCAAAACGGTCAAAAGTTTAAAATTATTGCATTTATTTTACTTTACAATCAAAATGCTGCCAACCAAAGAACCCCCATATTATTTCCAAATAATAGGCTGGTGTTTTTTTAACGTCAAATATAATTTAAAGGAATTACTTTTAAGATTTTGAATTTATTCCAAATTTCTATCTAATTAAGTTTGTTTTTGAAGTGTTGGTCTCTTATTCTTATAAAGATAATTGAGCTACACAAAATCAACAAAAAACTTTCAAAATAACAAGGTTTTTTTTTGCTCTGTTCGCTATTATTACAATTTGCTGCTCCAATTTATTTCAGGAATTCTTCAACCATATAATTAGGAATTATCATTTCAAGGAAAATGTGCAGTTGTTTATTTGAGCATTGTTTGCTATGTTTTCACAAAATAACTACTTTTGTTACTATTAACCTCTAAAGGGTCTAGATGACGCTTATCTTAAGTTGGCCATTATGTATCTTCACTCAGTTAGACAAGTCCTAACTAGGCTCGCAATCCGCTTTGCCAACTTTAAATTTTATAAAATGTAGTCGGTAACCCCGGCTAATGCTAACTCGTTCAATATCGAAATGTGCGGGATGCGCCATAAGATTGCTTGGTTGAGCTTAGGGTTGATAATAGTTAAATTTAACAGAAATGACCCTCCATGGTCTTCTTAATCCATTCTAACTCTTTGACACATATAGGCGCTTCTTTGTTCAACCTTTCACTAGAACCCTTTTAGTTGGCCCATGCCAAGAAACCTCACACTAAGCAATGCTAAGACAATCTAGTTAAAGTAAAAAATGCTAGAAATTCACACTGCCGTATGATACAATTAAGCAGACCTCAGTCATATTATGTTAATGATCCTCACTTAAGCTCAACATTTTATTGAATTTCGTCAGTCCAAACTTCATTCGAAGTTTTTAATCTTAAAATTAAGCTATTGTAGTTTGAATTGAATTCAAAGGTCATTAGGGTCTTGTGCTTCAAATATAGATATTATTTTAACTTAAATTGATAAGCCAAGCCTAACCTTCTTGATTAATCTTACTAAACTTGAAACCTAGGCTTTTATTTCTTGATTTAAGTACCATGGTCAGGATGTACCTAATTAGGCTCACAAGAGGTTAATCTAACTAAGTTGCTTCAACCTAATAATTGATTAATAAAGATAGAGTCGGCTCGGTCAATGAGTTAAATGTTGATTGGTATTAGCCAACGCAATCCAAACATTCAACTTAAAATTTAAGTTCAACTCTTGCTTTACCATGCATCAACTCAATTAATTTAAATCTTTATTATATTAACTGCACAAAGAGCTTATAATTAAATTCTCATGCTTGTTTATATCATACTCAATTCTATTTATATGCCAAGCAACTTGAGCAGGTGCAAACTTAAGCTAAAACACTCTTATGACTATTAAGAAGTTATTTCAAAGCGTCGCTTCAAGCCTATTGGATTCATGCTCAAATTAGAATCAATAAGTTTCCTTTACAATCACCAGTCAAAATCATAAGGAATAGTAACCCATTGATCATTATCTTTTTACACCCTTCATTGCAAAACCCACAGGATCTGCAATTACCTCCATGTTATTTAAAGAAGAGCATGCAACTATGCCACCAACATTCCAAATGAGTTATACTCCCACATTTTGATCTACTTGGTGACACAAAAGTTATTGTCTTCTTGCCAATTGTCATCCAAGCCTAGCTACCATCTATTTCTATCCACCCATTATGACCATAATTTTTTGAACATCTTAGTCACTGAGCTCTTAATGCTACGTTCTTTCAACAAACTCCCTAATCTCTTTCTTCGACTATTTAAAATTCTATAATACAATGCTGGGCTAAATGCAATTTTCATGTAAAAATTCTCTAGGCGCACGCCTCGAGCATTCATTTTGAGGCATACGCCTCATCCTGGTTGAGTCAAGTTTCGCCTCACTGGATTAAGGTGCACACCTCTATAAATTTATTTTTAACTAAATGTTTAAAATCATGGTTTTAAATTACAATTGAGTATTGATATGTTTTATGTTTGTGAGGTGCAGTGTAAGCCTCAAGATGTTTTTAAAACATAAGCCTCAAAATCCAAAAATTGAGTAAAGTGAAAATAAATGTTAAAAATAAAATTTTATATAATACGCAAATAATATGCTAAAATGTGACATATTAACTTTATATTTAACTATGAAATAACCAATTGACATACATATGAAACAAAAAAATTACACAAGACATGAAGTGACAAGTGATAAATTGTGTGAAATAGAATTGAAATTTAAATATTACTAGAGCAAAATAATATAAAACATATGAATTGTATAAAAGTATCATATAACATCAAGTTCAACTTAAAATTTTTTTTTTCAAGTTCCTTACTTATTCATATTTAATTCCTAAAGAAAGCTGAAATAGTTGACAACAATTAAAAAATTATCTGCACTATCAACACTAAGAGGTAATATTTCAAAATTTTTAGAAGAGGGGTTGGTGGTTGTGTGCAACTTCCCAAGTGATCCTTGGCGGCGAGTACGATGGTGGTGACTGGGGCAAAGGTGGCGGGTTGAAGGTTGAGGCAATCAAGAGGAAGCTGTTGCGGCTCGGGGGTGCATGAAGGCGTGATTTGTAGGGGCTTTAGTGTAGGATTGATATAAGTTTTAATAAAAAATATATAAATAGGTTGAGACGTACGCCTCACATCAGCGAGCTGAGGTACGCCTTAGCCAAACTGAGGTGCACGACGTATAAAAAAAGCTAGAGGTATTTTTCACTTGAATTGTAATGAGGCTAGGGGTGTAAGTGAGTCGAGCCAGCTCGAGCTCGACTCGTTTATGAGCTCGCGAGTCGAGCTTATCGAGCCACCAGCTCGAGCTCGAGCTCAAACTCGAGCTTGACAAGACTCGGCTTGCGAGCCGGCTCGAAATTATTAAAATTTAAATTTTTTTATAGAAGTTAATAATAATCATGTACAATTTCAAAATCCTTTCTAATTTTCAAAATCCCGCCAGCTATTTTCCAAAAAAAAAAATTATCATCGTTTCTCAAATGTCGATCCATCTCTCTCTCTCACTCTCTCTCCGTTGACAGACTTTTGTAATAAATGCTAATGAGCTAACACTCAAAAAATCTGCTCACTTTCAATACTCTCTCTCTCTCTCTCTCTCTCTCCCCCCCCCTGACAACCACTAATAAATGCTAACATCTTAAAAGCTGCTCACATCTAAAAACTCTCTTCCTCTCTCTCTCTCTGTTTCTCCCGCTGTATAAAGACAAAAAACCCAAATTAATTTTTGTGGACTGCCCACATTGGGACAAATTGATCGCACCAGACGGGAGACTTGACTTTTCTAGGTGATTAGGGAGGTTGTGGAGTTGAAGACATCACTTAATCTTATGAAACAATGCACCTAGAGCTTGCTAAAATGTTGTTGAAAGTAAAGGAAAACAAAAACAACTTGATATAAAATTTATAAGTGAGATACTATGCATACAAACAAGCTAAGGGATGGTTAAGTAGAATCCTAGGATAACTTCTAGCATATGTGATGCATGCTATCCATACTCTGATACCAAGATGACGTGGAACATAACATGCAAGGATGATTAGATTAATGAATTTTCACGCTTAATATTTAGAGCACAATAATTATATCTTTATAGTGATTTCGAACGACAACATAAAACACAAAGAGCGGTGACATAAGCTTAGGCTAAATCACATATGTAGGAGTTAAGCCCGTAAAACAATCAATTAGTCTAACATTGCATACATAAAAAATTTCAACAAGAAATCTCTTGACTAACAATGA